CTCTTGGGAGGCCACTAGTGGTGTGGGGCCCTGAGCAGATACCTAATTCCTAATGCCTTGGGCCGGCTCTGCCTATAGCTTTCATTTAGCACAATTATTGCATGTTTCTTCAGTTTATTCACCTTCCAGCACCTGTGTAGATGTTTGTGAACATTAATCCCACCTGTATTATTAGAGGTTGCATCGTTTGGTGGCTGAATAGTGAGGGGAAGTCTCAAAGATTTATTTCTGATCTTAACTAAAACAAAGGGCCAGTTTTATATATTTTGGAGGCACACATTTTATAGCACAATCAAGTAATAATGTTACCTTCAACAGATATGAAAAAAAAATGCATTCTGACACCTTGAAATATCTGTCTGACATCAGTTGCTACATTTTCTGTTGGATTTCAGTCTAATCTTCAAGTTCCACATTTCTATAAATTAAAAAGAAATACCATACAGGTACAATATGTTTATTCTAAATAAATCTGGTTTATGTTCAGCAATGACTGACTCAATTTTGAAGAACTGACTGGAATACTTTTGTCTTACATATTACAGGGAAAACAAACTATCTTGCTACTTCCTTGTGTTTGTTGTCCACTCACATTATGTAATCATGCAACTTCCTGTAGTAAGCAGCCCACTAACACATGTTGAATGCTTGCTTTCTGATCTCACAAAAGAAAATTGGCACTAATATAAAACGTGTGATGCGTTCGGGTGTTTGGGTTTCAGCGGAAACTTGGGTAAATATGCAAATCAGCAACAGCTGTGGAACTTCCCAAGTAGAGAAAAGAAAACTAACTGGGGCAGGAAGAAAAGAAAGCAGCGCCTTGCATGATGTTGCCCTGCGTTCAGACCAAGACAAGCCTTATATGTTTGAAAAATGATTGAATGCCGGTTAATTCTACAATTATGTACTTTACAAATGTGATGGCTTACATTAATTTAGGTAAATAATGAAGTTAGTTTTGTAACTCTTTTTATAGTATACTGGAATAAATGTCACTATTGTTAGACTTCCAAGATTTCTGCTCTTCTAATTGCCAACAAAGTGAAGGTGGAGACTATGAAAAATCAATTTCCTTTCTCAGAATTCTGAAGACACTAGTCTACCACTGCCTCTGTAAAGTCACATCTTAGTTTGTGCTTGCGGTTTTTATCACATTGATCAAGCTCTAAACAGAGGTGCAAAAACTGCAGTGTAGAGTGAATATGAACCACACTTCTAATGTTGAGCCTTTTGTGGGGATTTGGGATTTTGTATTGCTTGTATATTACTTTCAGACCTCTTCTTTGCTGTTTTTCCCATTTACTGGTTAACTGGTTGCCCTGTAATTTTGTTGATTATACCGGCTCTGCCTCGGCCTATGATTATGTTCGTTAGGTATTTAGTCTTTCGGTTTTGTGTCCTGGGCCGTGGGTTCCTTGTTGATTCAGTGTGTCATTTGAGTTTACCTGAGCTGCCAGTTCACAAGTCTGTCAGTTCGTCATCCCACTTGAAGTAATTACAGAAATTGAGTTTCTCATCTCTGCCGGCTGCCTGAGTGGCTGCGTTCTTCTCAGAGTCTAAAAACATGACACCTTTTTGTTGTCATTAAAATATTAGAATTTGATTCCTAAAAACTTGAAACATAAAAAATTACATGCATTTCTTATAATGTCTTCTCTTTGCAATAATGAAAAAGAGTACTAAGGTCTTTTGTGGCTAACAGCTTCAGACAGTTGGTGACAACTTGTCTGTCCTTTTGTTGCTTTGACTGTCTTCCTTTTCTTCTAACGCCTTTTCTTAGAACTCACTTTAAACATTTCCTCTAATTTGTACTTGCAGATTTAGGCTTTGTTCTTATCCACAAATTTGACATGAACTGATGACACATGACAGGTATGAGGTTGTTGGTAAGTAGGTATGGGTAAAATATATATTTACTTGCACTTGGATGAATTTGAGCTTCATATTACAAATTCACTTCAAGTCAACCTGTTAATCAGGCTGCAAAAGAAGAACTGCATTCACATTGTGGCCTTCATCTGAGATGTGAACTTGTGAAATTTATCAACAAACACTTCAGTTCATGTAAATCTTCAGTTTGGGTGAATAGACTAAGGTACAGTTCTTGTAAATTGTTTGCAAGGTTAGGTGTTACTTTATATCAATATGCATCAATAGTCTTAACTAGCTTCTCCTTTGGGGGGGGGGATCCTTTCTCCAGGGTCAAATGGGGAAGATTAAATCCTAGTTCTGTCCATCACAGGCCAACAGAGAGACACACAGAACAAGCAACCTGTGAGAGAAACCTAAAGTGCCTCAGGAGGTCCCACACATGCACAGGAGAACACACAAACTCCATGTAGCAAAATCTGATCTTGTGATAAACTTCTTGCTGCAACTGTGCAAGAAGTCGGCTGATTTGTTATCAAATCACAAGTCGACAAAACTGTTGCAAAAACCAGATGATCCATCTTTGATACTTCTCACAATTGCAAACCAAAAATAGAAAAGACTAACGAAAAAACACCTTAATTTAGGTAGCACTCTTTCTTTTGTGTTTACTATGCTTGTCTTCGTTTTGAGCTGTGGGAAAATCATGCTTGAAAGATTCAAGGGCAAGCTATAACATAACAAAGGAACATCTCCCTACAAATACTTATTTTCCAAAATGTTTTGCTTCTGTTTGCTTTTGAATTTCAATCTACCAGCTGATTTGAAGTCAGAAGAAATAACTCCAAGTGAACTGGCAGCAAAGCACCTGTACAACGCTGAATGTGGCAAAGAACAGTGAGCTAGTTCTCAAATAGAAGAGAACCAGCTCACTTAAAATGAGTATATTATGTATTAAAAGTTTTACAGAAAAAAGTACATTGAATGATCTAAAATACTGGCAGAATCATCTCTACAGGTACACAGGTGTAGTAGGTATGCTGTTATTTTACAAGCTGCAACAACAAAGGCTGAAAACTGAAAAATCTGAAAAACAGATATCATAGAACTCACTTTTTGAAAACCCTAATTCAGAAGGTTTTTTAAACAGATTTTTGTTTCCAAAACTGTGCTTTTATATAATTTATGCATTGCAATACCATTCCTCACCAGTCGTAGGCAACAACATTGACCATACCAACCTTCAAATTAAAGATGATCCTATCCTAAAAAAAAAGAAAACAACACAAAAAAACAACAAAAAACCTCTTCCAAAATAATTTACTCATGTTTTCTGTGACACTGTTTACCCTTTCCCATAAATCATATGTCTTTTTTTGTTGTTCTGTTTTGTTTTAGTTTTTGCAGGAAATGTGTCTGAAACAGAGTCAGGACACAGTGAGACACATAAAAGAAAACCACAACATCAGCATTTCTGCTGCGGTTTCCAGCCAAGAAGTGTGTGACCACACACTTTTTTGCTGTTTTTACCAGCCATCCAGTTCAGTGTGGTTCTCAAACATGCTCAAATGAATGTTGCAAAGAATTGATCAATAAATTTTTTTTTCAAAGGATCTCCCCTGGTGATATCAGCACTCCTGTGGGATTGACAAAAAATGTGCACTTGTTTTTCTACATACAAAACAAATCTCAACATTTACTCATTAGGTAAGGATTTGGTTACAGCTGTGTTTTGGTGTGTTTGTTTGTGTGTGGGTAAGGTTCAGGTCTGCACACACATATTTGTCTGGGGATTGCTTTTTGAAAATGTACAACTTTATTGTCTTACTTTTAAATTTATCCTTATGTTGGACTCGTGTCACAACTATTGGAGCTTGTACGTTATGCCAAGTCTTCATCTGGTTCTTGTTGTTACTTCTGGAGGTGAGTATCAAAAAAATTGTATTCAGGTGAGAGGATCACTATTTTATTTTTTTTTACTCAAGTAAAAGAAAAAAAAAACTTACAAGCAAGAGTTAAAAAACATTTAGTAAAAGGCTGCAGAAGAAGTGAGTTACTGATCAAGTTACTCAAAGTGGACACAGTATCCAGAAATTTTACTCAAGTCAGAGTAGCGATACTTCATAATAAAACCATTCAAAGCTACTTAGTTTGCAGGTTCAGCCAAGTCAGAGATAAACATGAAGCCTGATGTATGTTGTCACTTTTGACTTTGCTCTCTGACCATCACACTGGGATTCATCACCAAGTGACAGAAAAAAATGTTCTCTGCAATCTCTACAACGTTAGTGAAGATTTTGGTCAAACTATTTAAAGGGATTGATTAAGATTAATTGTGGTTGACCAAGCTTTACATTATTCCTGTCAGCATAAAGAAAAAAAAACGGTGATCTGGATTTATATTTACTTTGACGTGTAAAATGTATAAATTCTACATATTACTGTCAGAGTTATGAATACATTCATCTCAGTAAAACTTTTAAAAATCAAACGGTTGAATACCAGGAGCTCAGCAGCGATGTGTTTCCTGCAGTTAGCACTGTTGACTCATAGTAGGACTTTGGTTTTGCGTTCCAGCATCAGTGCTGAGTTTAAATGTTCTTCCTGTGAGTATGCGTGCCCCTCTTGCTCTCTCATTTCCTCCCACAGCCCAAAAATCTGTCAATACTGTACTTATGAAAGTACAAGTGCTGATTGGGGGATGTCCATTCTGTTTGTGTGTTTTTAAGTTTCATTCTACTCTCCATCCACATGTAGAGTGTGTAAATAAAAGAAGCTGAAAGATGTTTAGGTGACAAAAGTGTTGGGCTTTGCTTTGATAGAGGAAAAGTACAAGAACTTTTCAAATAACACTAAACTTGTTCACTTTAAATGCTTGTTCATGAAACATGAAAGGAACAAAAAATAATTTGTTCTATTCTTGTCTCTTTCTTGTCCACGTGTAGGATTTTAGAGCACAGAAATCTTCCATGGCTTTGATCTCCGACACACTCTGTCTGCCACCTTTACACGGTGATGCTTGAAACCTTCCTCTCTTGCTAAAGAATTGCTCTTCTGCTTCCTGTTTCGCTGCGCTCAAACTTCTTAGCACGCAATGCCCCCTCCATTTCACTGTCACAAATCTTGTTGACGGTGTGCTGAAACGAGACGTTTGTGGTTTGTGTCACAGCTACGCTCTTGTGCATTTCTGCTTTTCATTGAGAAGCCAAACCTCTTCATCAAGAGCAAGAGAGCAAATGGAACAGAATAAGACATGAAGAACCTTGTGTATGCGATTATTTATGGATCTATTATTGCTCTTGGTTTGCCACTCAATATTATATCTCTGTGGATTCTGCTACGTCACCATGGACGAAAGTCCCCCAGCGCCGTTTTCATGGCCAACCTGGTGATATCAGACCTGCTGCTCATCCTCTCTCTGTCCATGAGGGTCTACTTTTATGCTACGAACAGCTGGCATCTGGGTGAGATGTTGTGCGTCTGGTTCACCATGCTCTTTCGCAACAACATCCGCACGAGTTCCATCTTCATCACCTTTATCAGTGTGGACCGGCTGCTGGCTGTGGTTTATCCATTGAGGTCGAGGCTCATTCGGACACCACTCAACGCCGTGAAGGGCTCTGTTTTCGTCTGGGTGATTGTGGTGTTGGTGAATATCCCAGAGAGTGTGGGCTTTCTGAGAAGTTTAGAGAATCAAACATGTTTTGATTCTGGGACAGCAAATATGACCCAACACAGCAGAACAAAGGACGAGATACTGGAACTCACAATTGGTTATTTCCAACTTGTGCTACTGCTGACCATGCTGACAATTAACATCATCTCCACAGTTATGGTGTCCTGTACTCTCCAAAGACATCTAAGTGAGTCTGCAATGGTCAATAACAAGCTGAACGTCATGCTGATTTTCGCCATGAACCTGATGATGTTCATCGTTTTCTTCTTGCCGGTGTCTCTGGTTGTGTTCTTTGATGACCTGAGGCCCGAGCTGAGCTGCCTCGCAAGTGTGAACTGCTGCCTGGACCCTCTATTGTATTACTTTTCTTTTGACGGGTTCTGGAAAAAAAAGGAGGATGTGGAAACATCTCTTGCAAGTCGTGCAACATGAACAGACTGACAGAGATAAGATGAAATAATTTTTTGTTTTTTGTTTTTATACTTGTATCAGTGTGTTTCTTGTTTTATCTAGTAAAAATATAAAAAAGTTAACCAGACAATGTTTTGGTTGATTTTTGAAATTACTCAATGCTACATTACTTAAATAAACTCATTGAATTAATTTAAGTTTTATTGCTAATTTCACATGAAACAAAAGTACATGCTAGTTTTTAGAAAGTTGTTAGGGAATGCATTAATTTGTTTTAAAGAACATCTTTTAATTTTGAAATGAGTTGAAATTGTATTTGCAAATAGAAATTTGGTGTAGTTTGACATCACAGCCATAGATTTATGTATTGTATCATGATTTTATCTGAATTATGAAGCATTAGGAAAAGATGTTTTACAAATGCAAAGGGTGCCTTTTTTTGGATTCTGTCGACTTTACTCTGAAAATCTTAAATAAAATACTGAAGAATAACCCACCTTTAGAAGTCGGCTGATTAGTAAATGAAGAATAAATAAGGAAATGCAAACAAACACAACAAATAGATCAGAATAAACATTTTCAAACTTTCCCTGAACAAAACCTCTAAAAAATGTATCTGCATTTGTGGATCAGAAGGGAAATGCAAGCCACATTTCAGATTTATATTTTTTTCAACATTGAACAATCTTATATCCTTTTCTTACTTTTTTGGACTGTCACATGAGATACCTATATAAAACTTTAACTTGTGCAATTTTCAAATCTTATGATTCATAAGCTATGAATACTTTATCAAGGCACTGTATGTTATAGAAAAAAAATAAATGTAAGGTCTATGTTTGTTGCCGTGATGAGTTATTCTTGCCCATCAGAACATTACATGTCTTTTTTTAAGAATTGTTCCTGTTTATTCGTCCTTTCTGGCCCTTCTTTTTAAATATGCCACGTGCCAAATAAAGCAAACCACATAAGAACAGAACATCTTTGTTTCCTGCTTGTGCACTCATGGCTGCATTTAGAGTTTTCATTCTAAGCACATGAGATCTGTTGCTTTGGAATAAGTTGCAGAATTTGTATGCATAAAATGTTGCCTCTTGTAAATAAAGTAAGGTCGTCGGTCCATAAGGCTGCGGCTGGCCAGATATTGCTTGAGAGTGACCCTTCTTAAATTGGAGTCTTGTGTGGAGGCGCTCTTCTGCCTCGAGCTGCTCCATATATGTTTAATGTGACCTACCTGTGCCCTCTGCAGGATGAAACTCAACAAGAGTCGGAAGGAAAAAAATAAATACAGTCTGAAGCACATCTGAACTGCAGTCTGTACACACTCAGCCCTGCCCATGTGTTTTCACACCATGGTATATGACAGCTTTATTCAGTGCGCTGTGTGTGTACTGGATTATTGCTCTTGGCTGAAAGGGTGTGATCTTTAAAGATTCTGTTGATTATGAAAAAGGTCAAGTTGTTGCTTTCATAACTTTTAAATCTAATGCCATATTTGAAGGTTATGATCTGTTTAGTCTGGGATAAAAGCATAAAATACACAAAAAGCCTCCTGTCCCATATGCTTCTTCCTCAACCATGCACACTTGCATGCACACGCAAACACACACGCTTTAACATAAAAAATAAATAAATTAAAAAAAAGACATGAGGCAGACACATTCTGCTCTGCTCTGTGAGGCCGCAAAAGCCTCTATTCCTGTCTTGTGCTGCAGTCTGGTCGGCCTTTAACCAAAAGATGAGCACTATTCAAAGAAAGCAGCAGCTTTGGTCACTATGGACAGTGTGATGGTAAAAAAGGGAACAAAGAGAGAGAAAGACAGAAATTGACATTGAGTGCAAGGGACAATGATCAACAACCATAAGGCCTATTGCCAAAAAATTTATTTGACAAAACCAAAATTCTATGTCAGTTGTATGTAAGTAAATTTCAAATCGTGAACATGAACTGATTCTTAGTGTGTAGTTTGACAATGCGATTAAGAGTGCATGTGTATTATGCTTTAGGTCGTGACTAAACAGAGCGAGGCAGAAGCCAGAATGCTTTCTCAGCCCACATTTTCATCAATTAAGGTTCATTCACCAATAAGTAAACCCATAAACAAATGAAATAAATTAAGTTTTACACTCTCTGCACTCAAAAATGGCTTTTGAAAAGTAGAGGCTCCCCGATGAGAACCAATTTATTTCACATTCCAGTTTGGTGAGCTGCAACAGAAGCCTGTAAATGAGCCCGAGTTTTAGAAAAATAAGATATTTAAAACAGGAAAAAAAAAAACTAAAGTTGGCACAAATGACCTCTTCTAAAGTAATGTAACAAGTACAAAAAGCTGTCAGAAGCTGCTAAATTATGTTCTCATTGGAGGCCACACATGCATGAGGACCACAGTTTCACACTTCATATTTAGAAAAGGAACACTTGCTATTAAAAGTTATTGCTTCACAGCCAGAAAATTAACTCCTCCCATATAAAAAAAAAAGAAAAAAGAATCCACAGATTAACTCACCGGTTTTGTGGGGCTACTTTGGAGACAAAAAACAGACAAGCCCAGGATGTTAATGTCAGTTTATGAGCCATAACTTTAAGACATTTCTAAATTCCGGTTTCTCTAAATACCCACAAATTTGAGTTGCAAGTGGAAGTGGTAGAACCATTCATGAGCCTCTCCATACCTCAGTCAGCAAGATGATGAGCTGTAATGGCAGTTTGCTGTATCATTACTAATACTTTTCCATGTCACAAATAAATAAAACCTAAACCAGAAGCCAAGATGCTGATTTTGGAAAAAGCCACTTGACTATATTTGATCTAATATGACACTTAAGTAAAAGCAAAGCAGATGCAACATCTAAAAAAGTCCTTCAGGGCTCTTCCTTCTTCTTCTTTTTTTGTTTTGTTTTTACATAAACCACAATTTCTTTAGATCAGTAACTAATCCTAACAATACTGTTTCTGCAAAGTGATATGTCATGCTTGTTATCTGCTCAAGAAATCAACCAAGATTTGTGATGTGGCTAACCACGAAGCCCCAGTTTAACTGAGGCTTACGCCTAACAAAACACATGCACAAATTTTAACAAAAAAATGTTAAAATTACTTCATCAGAAAACATGACAAATATGGAAGTAACTGATTCGATCTGAAATTGTTTGATAAAGAAGCATTCATTACTAATAACTGCATTTCTGATATACAGTAAGCGGTCAAATTTTTTATACCTCTTGCGCCATTTATTTCACTTTACAACAACAAATTTTTCTGCAATTTATAGGGAGCTGATCCAAAGATGAAACGTGAAAATCCATCCATCTCTCAACAAATGAGGTGAGCCAGGTTCAGACAGTCAACTCTACCTAAATGTAAATGAGAACCACTGGGAAAACTTGAATATTACTGGACACAGACACTCTCCATCCAACCTGATAGATCTTAAATTATTTTCCAAAAAATAATGGACAAAAATGCAATTTTCTTTGTGTGCCCAAAATCCACACTTAGATTATTTAAGGGTCTCAGTAAATGGGGATAAATACATTTCCACACACACTTTTCAGACTTTAGTGGCGCCTCATAGTAAAAGTTGTAATACTCCACTTGTGAAAGTAAATCTGTTGGACTTCACTTTGTCACTCATGGAACAGTTGTAAATGCTACTGCTGGACATTAAAAAAAGATATATATATGCATACTTTTTTTCATGTCAGTCATCCACTACTTAGTGTTTGTATATCAAAAAATGCCAATAAGTTATAGTGATGTCTGCAGTTTGACAAGACCCAGAAACTTCAGCACAAGAATACTTTTGCAGTACTTTCACAGTATTTAATGATGCAACTTGATGTAACATTAAACACTTTGTTTTCATACAATAATCCTCTTGTGAGTTTATGAAAACAAACATTGCATTCCTGATTTCAAGAACATGAACTTTGTTTTTGCAAGATACTGAACTAAGATAAAACTTCCTTGGTTATGTATGGGGATATTTGCATTAATGTCACAAAGTCATTGCTGAAAGTTTTTTATACAATCAAAAGCAGAACCAAGCAATCCTGAGTGAAAACTGAAACAGAACTAATTTTGTCACGACACATTGCTCCCACACTAGTGGTGGTGCTATTATTAGGCCCAAAAGATACATGCAAAATGCAATGCATGCCAGACGACTAATATCCCAAATGTGAAACATGGCGATGAAAGCATCATACTGTGGGGGTCTTTTTCTTCACTGGGGGAAGGGAAGATTGTTAGGGTTGATGGATTCAAGGTAAATACAAGGGAATTCTGAAAAAAGAAAAAAAATGTTAGAGGCTCCACAAGACTTGAAACCGGGAAAAAGTCTCATGTCCCAGCTGGATAACAAATCAATGTATAACATATGTTGGAATGGCCTAGTCAAAGTCAGGACCTGCAGAAATTCTTAAAAATGGCATCAAAAAAAGAGGTGGAATAAATCTACGTTTTGAAATGTGTAAAGCTAATAGTCATACCCCATAGCCTGAAATGTTACAAAGGAAAGCAGACCTACGTAGTATTTTATCAGTAGATTATGTAATTCTTCCAAATTTTGATTTATAAAGCATATTAAAACCATTCACACTTCACAACTAAAAGCTTTTAGCAGGTAGGTTAGAAATGTTCTTCATTGAGATGTGAAGAAAGAAAATGTTCCTGTACATTAAGGGGGTTGTCTTCAGATATAAAGACATCATTTTAAAAGTGTGTAAACTGAAAGGGGAAAACAAATGTCCCTAAAAGTCCCCAGTGTTTGCAGCATTATTATAAGCATGCTGCCAGGTAATCAGTGAAATCCTTGTTGACTGGATGGAAGCCAGTTTGGCCTTTTTACTGTCTTTATCTCGAGCTGTATACCTTTTCTTTCTAGTGCTCTTTTTCCATTACCTCTTGGCCATTTTCATTTACTTTACTATTCGTGATTTCCTTTGCTCTTTATTTTAGCCACAATGCAAATAATAAAAAGAATCTGACATGTAGCCAGAGGAATAAACTTTTCCACATCTTGCTGCATACTTCCGTTGGTAGTAGGCTCTTTTGGAGTCTGATTAAATTACCCTCAAATAATGACTTTTCCTGTCTACCCATGAATCCTTCTATAATCTGAATTAATATTGGTTGATGCTGTGGGACGTAAGAATGGGTTGGACTGGTTCTCCGTAGTCAAACTGGTTGAACTGTCCTGGACTTGGCAGATGTCACAAGTCCATGACAGTCGAGTCATAATAAAGTAAAAACCTTTGAAAACTCTTTCCTGCACTTAGACAACAACTTTAAAACTTAATGCAGAAAAGACTTTCTTTCTTTGAAGAAACAGTCCATACCAGTGTACATTACCACTATGAAATGTTTGTAAAGGTTCTGTTAAGTAAAAATTGAAATCATACATTATAAATGTTGTGGGAGCTACATTAAATATATAGTCCAACTATGACAAAAATGTAAGAAATGTAGCAACTTTCACTTTTAAATAATAAAATGCATCATTGAGGTTTACCTTAACTGTTCATTAAAGTATTACAATAAAAAACCTGTTGCTGATGAAAGTGTGACTGTTTGAAAAACATTTTTTTGATTATCAGATGCCAATCTGAGCTGTGTGTTCTATTTTAAGCTCTAAGGTTGGGAATTCAGCTCAGTGTGTGTCTCCTCACTCTGCACAGAAGTCCCAGCAGATGTATGCCCCATGGACGAGAAGGGAGGAGTCAAAGTCGAGCCTCTCAATTCAGCTGAAAGCTGAGTTTTAAAGACAAGCTGTGAGCTATAATCAGCTTATATTTTGATTAAAAGCATATTCCTTAAGATTCCATATCTAAAAAACGATTATTAACTGTGGAATAATAAAAAAAATCTTCTGCACATTTTAATAAATAAAAACATTGTGTGTATTTACTCAATCCCATTTACTCTGATACAATAAAAAATGTGTAACTAATTTTCTT